ACATACATACATACATACATACATACATACATACATACATACATACATACATACATACATACATACATACATGTGCCAAACACAAATTTCTTAATGTAAAGTGTGTAACAATGTCTCTTGGCAATAAGTCTTATACTGTTGGAAAGCCTGTTCATTTCACTTTTAAATGTCACATTTGTAAGGAACATGCATTTGCTGGATGTGCAGTAGAGCTGAGTATGTGGTGTTGTCAAGAAGTATTGTTAAGAAATAATCTACCAAACACAAATGCTAAGTARATATATCTTTATATAAATACACCTTGCTATTGCATTTGTAGTGGTCTTTTTCCTTTATCGTGCTTTAAACACTATTGTTATTTTTGCCTTTTTATATTGGTAATCTGGCTGCATTCTCTGTAAAAGAGACACCCTTAGAATAGATATAACATCTTCATTCTAAGTTAGTAAAAACATTATTTTGCAAAGTYACTGCACAGGCAGCACAACTTTTTGTTTCGTTACACTGTTCCTTCAAACAGAGATTTTACCGTTGTTGGTTCAGGTTAATGTATTTTGTGGATGACTAGAATTAGTTTGTGTTAAAAGAATAATCTGCTTTTTAAATATTATTAACATTCTCTATGAGAAGTGCCACAAGTGCACAATTTGCAAAATCTGAAACTTGTGCAGGGGAAAAAAACTTGCAAACAAGTACAATGTTTCCCACTGAGATGTAGTGAGTACAAGAAGTCAGTGATATTGACTGAAAAAAACAGCACTCTTTTGGATTTACATATATATATATTAAAATCTGTGAAAGTGTGGACGAGGATGCTACAGAAACGCAATGGCATTGTSTTGGGATTTTTTATGTGCACTGACACAGCTTCAGTGACATTTGTGAGGTGGGTTATCTGTGCAGAGTCAATCTGGACAACCTGCTGCCACATGATTAATTTCTGCATGCTTACAGTATCACAGTCGTCATAACAGCTTCTACAGGCTGTGAGAAATTACTCAATTTATCCTCCTCTTTCCACTGAGAATACATAATATATTTATTGATTTGATTAAATGAAAACTGGAGATTGCCAAAGGGAGGGCGACAATGTTTCACTCATGTGTGTGTTTATTTATATAAGCTATCTATCTCATAAATAAACTGGATTGGTTTAGATAGAAATTTCATAAAGTAACGTTTAGATGTAAATCTGAAACACACCAGTGATCCTAGCAAAAATAAAAAATGAATTTAACTTAGCCAGTTTTACAGATATTAGTGTGCAGTGTTGGTAGTTGACAGTCATCCCTAACTCCTGATCTGAGTTTTACACATTGCTCAATATTTTGGTTTTAAACTGCAGCATTATGTCATTTCACGTGTCATCACTGTCTATCTCTGTTTGCAAAATCCCATTGAACTACTGGACACATTTTATTTGAACTCTCAGAAAGTAATATTTGGATATTAACATTTGAGGTTGTCACAAAGTAGGTGGTTAAAATGGTTAAATTTTGGTGGTAATCTGGATCAACGTGTGACCCTAGGGTCTTTGTTTTAACTTATTCCACTGCTTGATTTCCTGCCCTAAAATGACTCTTCTTCTGTCGACTCTTGTCTTCACAGCTGTAGTGGCTGTTCCTTTACAGCAGAAGAGAGGAGAACCTTCCTTTTTTTAATGTCAACCTACTCTGATTCTATTGTTCTCCCTCTATGTTTACATCC